GCCGCCCCGCCCCCAAAAACCACCCCCAAGCCCCAGCTCCCTCTCTGCCCGCAGCCCCCCCGCGGCGGCTGCTGGGCCACGAGCTGCAGCCGGCGCGGTGGCCTTGCAACCGGGGATGACCACAGAGGTCCCTGCACTTCCAGCTCCTTTTCGAGCAGTGCCAGGTAGCAAGTGCTGCAAAGGGCCAGGAAAAAAAAATCCATGTCACCAGGTGCTGGTCACTGCAGAGCCCCAGCTGTGCTGGCTCCATGCAGGGAGAAGGGCCAGGAATGGGTGACACTAAATTGCCGAGGGGGAAAAACAGGGGGCTTTCCTGTGCGCAGAACAATTCCCCAAACTTCACTCGTTGCTAGTTTTCAAAGGGCCAAACACCATGCAGTTACCTCAGGGGGAAAACTTCATCCGAGTTCAGTGAATTACCTGTGCTGGCGTCTATCCGAGTTGAGAACAGGGCCTCATGTTTCTTTATGGGAGAGCAGGAAAACTGTTGAGCTCGCGGACTTCTTCCCCTCCGAAGGCCTGAGAAAGAGCAAGCATCAGATCTAGATCGGTGGAAAAAGCAGCAAAAGTTTTGGGATGCAGTTGCTAGATATTCTGTAATAACCATTATGCTCTGTTTTCAGACGCTCCGTCCCCCATTTCCTCCATCTTTCCTCATATTCTGCAACTTTTCACTTAACACGCTGCGTCACTGCATTCCTTCGAATTCCCCCATTCCTGTCAGCTGCACGTCCAGAGACAGCACATGCTTTTGGCACCAGGAGCTCGAGTTATGATCTACAGTGAGAAAGATCCTAAATTCGTCTCTCCTCATAAATAAGGCCATTTCACACCATCTCTCCACTGCACACCCACTCGCATGAGAGCGAGTCCCTCAGTTCAGGGTCCCTGGTGGGAATGAGTGAGCACATGTGCTGGAGCACTTGCATAATTGCTGTGCTAAGGACAAACCTCCCATTCCTGCAGCTACAAGTATTATATTCTAGAGACATGACTTTAAAAACTTATTTCCGGATTTGCACTAAACCTATGCCAGAGAACACTTCCCTTGCGTTTGTTTTCTTCATTTTATTTCTCCCTTGTGCAACCCACACCATTCAGTCCAAGCCTACTTACTGCTGGTTCCCTTTTATTGAAAATTAGGAGGAGGATTTTAAGACTCCTTGAACTTAATCGACTTAAAGAGGCAAGAAGAGTGATATGATCCCATCGATAGTTTCTTGTTACACACACTCTGAAGCAACCTCTGTCTTCCTTCCACCTCTGGATGCCTCATGTCCTTACGGGTGCAGCAGTGCTTGCTGAGGAAGCTGCCATCTCTGGAGCCTGATGAACGTGCTCGCAGCTCTTGCTGCCGGAGGGGTTTGCTGTGAATTTGCCTGCTGCTATTGAGCAGAAGACCTTTCTTGGAGGAAAAAAAAAAAAAAACATTTTGGTTTGACTCCAAGTGATCCTGGTGAACTTGTGCCAGGCCTTCGGAGGCCGTGTGGGTGTGTGCAGTTCCCCCAGCAAATCAACACCAGGCAGGCCAGGGGGTGAGGCTGAAGGGCCTGGTGTCAGGCCACCAGTAAACATTTCACTGCTGGCAGCTTGAAAAGGCCATGGGTTTAGACGCAGCTTAATCACAAGAGACCAAAGTTGCTCTTTTTGTGCTAGTGTAGCTTTCTGTTAGCAATAAGACTCAGAAAGAGAGGTTCAACCTGGGATGGCGTCTCCGTGTGCCTGCACTCCTGCTGCTACGGAAATCGTCACTGGAATGGGAGCCAGCTCCAGGCAAGCAGCGACTGGCTGCCTCTTAGTGACTTGGAGGGTATGAGTGTTCAGATTTTCCTGCTTTTGATTAAGTATAGAAAGCGCCTATGTGTGTATGGAGTCTTTGCCGCTCTGCGTTTATAGATACTTGCTAGATTTCTCAGCGAAGATTTTTGAGTAACCTCATCTTAGAAATGCTTGATTTCTCTGGGCATGCCTTCCGAATCCCTCTTCTCCCAAAGATGGGGGAAGAGAGGGAATGGCAAGAGTTGTCGTGTGCATGGTTTGACAGTGACAAAACCATGGTCACAGACCACCTACGCTGTGTATTTATTAAAGAGCCTGGGGGTCAGGCATGGAGGTTCACTTCTTACTAGCGAAACAGTTGGCTGTCCTTGGCCGGAACAAGGAGGAGCAGATGCAGGGGAGGAGGAGTGGCTCGGCGAAGTAGCCGTGGGAAAGCCGAGGCTGTCCGCCCCGCGGTTCCCGCGAGCCCATCCGGGCTGGAGGCGCTCGTGGGAGCCCTGCGTGACCGCCTCTCCGCCGGCTAACCTTCGCCAGCACGGTTCACGGCCATAAGCACGGCCGAGAGCAACCTTCGCTTTTCGGCGGTCCAAACCCCAGGTCGAGTTCAAGGCCGCCGGCCCTGCTGCTCCATCCAGCTGTTCAGGTGTGAGCAATTTTCACACGGCGCTGATGGTGTTCTCGCAGACGTGCCTGCCAAACGTTTACTGAAGGGAAGTCGGTTTTCATAGTGTGACCTTCATAGTGTGAATATGATAGAGCCAACACGCAAGCGCTCCCCCCCTCCCCTCCCGAAATGCTTTATTGCTTGCCCAGAAGCGGCTAAACCGCACGCAGGCAGGCAGCTCCCAGGCGCCCTGCGACGGCCTCGAAGCCTCTCCAAAGCAAACCGGTAAATCCAGCCAGAAATTGTTGCCATATTTAAAATATTTAAATATTTAAAATATTTAATCAACTCTGCCCTCAGCGTTATGTATGGCATTACCAAAGTGCAGCTTATCGCCGTCGTAAACCTGATGCTTCAATTAAAGCTGCCTGCTGGGGTGGGAGCTGCTCGCAGAGGCCACCGCTCGGGGAGCAGAGCGGGGCCAGGCGGTGCGGCGAGGAGCCGCCGTCGCGCTACCCCTGCGCTAGCGGCATATAAAGCCTGAGGAAGGGCATACGTCCTCTACCATAGGGCTCAAGAACAACCACGAGCCAAGCCTTTCTCGCGTTTCCCTGTTTTCCTCTCCCTTGCTAATTATTTATACAAAAAATATATATATTTTTTAATCCATTCCTGGGCACTAACTCTCTTATAGCCAAGGGCATACGGAAGAGGAGCTCTCACCTCTTGACAGACAGCAACTTTTTTCTTGTTTTCTTGCACAGCACAGCTGATATGTGCTGGGTCCAAAGGTTCACATCTATTCAGTAATTTTCAGCCACTGGATTAGAGGGTTTTTTTCTTTTCTTTTACTTCTTCCTTCTGTGTCTCCTCTCATGCTTGCTGCATATGAAATGCCTCAGTACAATAAAGAAAAAAGGCTTCTTTTTTTTTTTTTGCTCCCTGCCCTCTTCATAACAGTAGTGACTTTGGTCCAAAGTGTGGCCATCCAATTAAATGGAAAGCAAGCAAAGTCAAACCCGAGCACAGAAAGTGCTTCCTCATGCAAAGCACACTTAGCCTGTGGCACTTACTGCGCCACAGGAGCAGTGAGGCCAAGAACTAAGCAGGATTTACAAGATTTTTTTTTTTGGAACAACGTATTTATATGGAGAAGAGGGCCCTACAGAGATATAATCATAACTATTTAAGAAAAAAAAAAAAAACAAATAAGAAAACAAAATCAAACAAGCCAAAAGTTTGGGAGGGCTAAACCATCTCCTGACCCACCTAGGGCATTTCTGCAGAGCGGGATTCAGCCGCACACGTGCTCTCCGCCTCTGCAGCCCGACGCTGAGCTGGTGCGACCTGCGCTTTGGGAACGGGGCCATGAAGCCCTGCGTCTTTTCCCTTTCTTACAGCCTTGCACGAATACGTTCCTCCTTCAGGGCTGTCATGGCTGGCTCTTGCTCAGGCCTAATCTGGCCATAACACGGGTATCACCGCTACTGTGATAGTCTTTGTTTATGGCTTTTCAGGACACAGAGGGGCTCCTGATGCCTTTTATGTTTCCTATGTATATTGTGCCCTTGAAATAGGCTGCATTACAGCGGGGCATAAAAGGCAGTAGCAGATAAATCAAAATACAGGGCTGAGTCTCATTTGGGTGTAAGGTGCTATAGTTTCATCGACAGTGACAGATTTATGCCAGAGCAGCCTGTGGACAACAAGTACAGCAATACGTTAACTAAGTGTTTGCAAAAGAGAATTTTCTGTTTTCACACTAGCTTTAAAAAAAGAAAAAAAAACCTCAAGCCCACAAGCTCAGGTTAAAGATAAGGAAGAGCAGATTGGGGGTGCTCTGTGTAGCTGCGGTAGTCCAGTACTTACAGAGATTCTGGGGTCAGGAGCTCCTCACTCATCACTCAAATGGGCCTTCAGGGACTCAAGGCTTGACCGTCCACTTCTGCGCTGCAGCTCCTCTTGAAGCCACAGTCTTGGCTGGCTTCAGCGCCGCCACCTAGGCACCACCTCGCTGAGCATTTATCCCTGACACTACAGGTTTGGCTCTGCGGTAAAATTTAGCAAAAGGATGCAAGAGAGGAGGCTGTGGCAGGAGTCTGCTGTGCCCACCACTGATGAGTGGAAATGAACAGATATCACAAGAGCTTTTGCTGGGAGAAGCTGAGGGCCTCTACTTGTGTGCAACATTAATGTGATTTTTAGAGTGAAGAAGCACTTTTGAAAGTCCAAAGGGTCAGAACTCAAGTAGGCGGGCGGTCTGCCATGCAAGGTTGGGTGGGAGGAGATATACAGCAAAACACCAGTCAGAGAAAGACACAGATCCCCCCTCCTCCCCCCCAAATAAAAATCTCATTTTTAGTTTGTTGTTCCAGCCGTGCTCTGCAGCAGCTCTGCAGGACGGAGCCCGCAGGGTGGGGTACAGGCCTCCCTCCTTCTGGGCAAGCTGACTGCAGCCTTGCACAGCGCAACCAAAGTGCAGCGAGGGAGTTTAAGTTAAAGGAATCCCTGGGAATAATCTCTGGTCCGGAGGCAAGACTAGATTACCAGAGATGACCATTGGGTTTTTTAAAATCAGTCTCTAAGCCTGCCTTTCCAAAAGGCCCTTTCAAGGGGTTCAGCAATGCAAGTCAGAACTCTGGTAAAAGTAATTTCACTTACAGTGTTGCCGTTGTTTGAGGTAAGAGGTTAGCCCTTGGCGGGGAGGGTCTCCCAGGCTGTTCCTGCTCGCAGAAGGAATCGCTGGTGAGCTGGGTACTTTCTTTGTAACAGATGAAGCAACCTTACATCTCAGTCCTATTTTCTCCAACCACTGTAAGACTAAAACAGCAGGAGGCATTTTCATTGCTCACAGCTCCAAATCCCTTTTCAGCTAATAGCTAGTCAAAAGCACTCTGCTTTTTCTTGGGGTCATGCTGCTAGCGCTTCCCTATTATCTCCAAGGCTTGCTTGCTATCTTCTCTGTCTGCTTCTGTCCTGTTCCTACCGACTCCTTTCTTTCCCAGGCGTGCATCCATTTGCATCTGTCTCCCAGCAAAATCCTTCCACCCGTATACATCAGCCTCCTGGTGGGCCTTTGGCCTCTGGTCCGTGTTTTGGGCAAAGGCTCCTGTCTCGCAGCTCTC